GGGCAGGAGGACCGAGGTGCCTCCGCCCCGAAGTGCCCAACCTGTGCCGGAGACTAAGCCTGTGTGATCTCCCTTAATCCTCCTCAGGATCTGTAATCCCCTGGGGGAAGGGAAAGGAGCCCACGAGGAGGCCAAGGAAGGAGGAGGCCCAGGAGGGAGGGGTCCTCGCTGCAGAGCAGAGCGGGGGCCGGCAGGGGTCAGGGAGGCGGGATGAGGACGAGGCCCCAGAGGGGCAGGAAGAGGCCAGAGCCCTGGAGTGAGGGAGGGGGTCGGCCGCAGAGAGTGGGCCAGGGCAGACGCCCAGGGAGGCAGGAGGGCTACTCAGGGCCTCAGGGAGTCGGTTCCAGGTCCGTCCCCAGAGCCGAGGATCAGAGTCTGAGAAGGCAAGAGGGCCTCAGGGCTTGGCGGGCCGAGTCTGGGTGCTGTCATGCTGCAAGGGGTGAAGCAGGAGCCAGGACTGGGGTCCCGGAGAGGGAGGGGACAGGGGCAGAGCCTTGGAAAGGTGGAGGCTCCTTTTGCTCTCCTTGCCCGTCTGTCCTTCCATCCGCAAGCACGTCCAGCAGCCCCCCGCTCCGGGCTTGCACTGGCCTTCCACCTGCCTTGACTACCTCCCCCCACCCCACCTCCTGCAGGTCAGGTTCAAGTCCTGGTCATGTCATCTCAGTGAGGCCTCCCTGACCATCATATGGAAACCACGGCCCCCAGCCCTCCATCCCTTCACCTTCTTCTGGGCTTAGCACTCTCTAACATGCCCCAGCATTGCTTTTTCCTGTTGGCTGTCTCCTTTGGCGATAAGACCCACAAGGGCAGGGGTCCCAATTGATGTAGTCCCAAGCAATGTCTGGGGTGGAACAGATGCTCAATGAATACTTGAATGACCGAGTTGAGTGCTGGGTTGCAGAATCCCATGGGGACGGGGTAGCATCGGTGATCCCTGATCTCAGAGCTGCAGAAGGCCCAGGTCAGGCTTCAGGGAGCTGAAAAACTGCTGGGACCAGGGCCCCAGAGCTGTGCAGGGCGCCAGACTGAGCACCAGGGAGCCTCAAAGCTGAGCTGGGGTTGAGCTCCCTGTTTTGCTGGTCACAGAAAAAGAGCCGGGAGGAGTCTAGTGGTGAGGGCAGTGGCGTGGAGATCCTGGCCAACCGGCCCTACACGGATGGGCCCGGGGGCAGCGGGCAGTACACGCACAAGGTGTACCACGTGGGCTCCCACATCCCAGGCTGGTTCCGGGCACTGCTGCCCAAGGCTGCCCTGCAGGTAGAGGAGGAATCCTGGAACGCCTACCCCTACACCCGAACCCGGTGAGTGGGTGGGGCGGGCACGGGCCTGGGGCCATGCGGGGAGCAGCCCCGGTGGGCACAGGGGTGATCCTCACCCCTGCCCTCTGCCCAGATACACCTGCCCCTTCGTGGAGAAATTCTCCATTGAAATAGAGACCTATTACCTGCCTGACGGGGGCCAGCAGCCGAATGTCTTCAACCTGAGCGGGGCTGAGAGGAGACAGCGAATCCTGGGTGAGGCCCAGAGCCATGGAGGGACCCTGGAGCCGCTCTCAGGCCCCCTGCTGCCTCAGTGGGCAGCTTCTGATGAGTCCCAGTTCTCCCCAGGCCTCAGATCCTGTCTGTGGAAGGCTGCCCTCCCAATCTTGGGGGACAGGGAGAGAAGGGAGGTGGGCAGGGGACGGGGGCTTGAAGGGACTGGCGCTACTCAATGCTTGCTGGAACCCCCTCAGACACCATCGACATCGTGCGGGACGCAGTGGCCCCAGGCGAGTACAAAGCAGAAGAGGACCCCCGGCTATACCGCTCGGTCAAGACGGGCCGGGGGCCGCTGGCTGATGACTGGGCGCGGACAGCAGCCCAGACGGGGCCTCTGATGTGCGCCTATAAGCTGTGCAAGGTTGAATTCCGCTACTGGGGCATGCAGGCCAAGATTGAGCAGTTCATCCACGATGTCGGTGAGCATCCAGCCACGGGAGGGTCACTTACCCGGCATGCTCCAGGCCCCGTGGGTAGAGCCAAGGATGCTCTCTGTCTACTGGGAATGCAGAAGCAGAAACCCATCATTTCCATGGAGGCAGAGGGCGACAGCGCAGCCTAGCTAGGGGTCAGAGAAGCCTCGCCTAGAGGAATAGCTGAGAGGGCAAGAAGCCAGCGACATGGTCTCTGAGGCTCTGACATTCAGAAATACTGTTTCTTCTACCTAGACTCTCAGATTCTCTGTCATACTGTGAGTTGATGCAGACACTCTCGGGAGGGTCACCAGCCTTACCTGGCAGCATGCTAAGAAGGGCAGGCTGGGAGACTGGGATTCTGGTGGCATTCTTTCTGGGGTAGCCTCCTACTCACAGCTCCAAGAGTCCCCAGCCCTAGGCCCTAGTGTCCAAAAGTCCAGTTCCACACATCCCCTCAACCCACCCCATGGCTTCTGCAGCTTGGCCCTGCCTCAGCCCCCAGACCCAAGCACCTGCACATGGAGGGATAATCCCTGGGCCAGGGAGACCAGTGGCCTGGTTCCTGCACCCTACTGACCCCATAACACTTCCAGCAAGCCACTGGCCACCTCTGTACCTTAATTTTCTCTTCTGTAAAAAGAGGAAGAGATGAGGCCAGATATTACGTGTTAAAATTGACTGAATGATCACAACGCACAAGACCTCTTGCCTAATCACCTTGTACAAGACCTCCTGTAACACCACAGCACCCCAGGGTGATGATAAGACCCATTTTACAGATGAGGAAAGTTAGCTTAGAGAGTCATGCAGACTCCTTGTCTTGCATTTGGAAAAACACCAAAAAGCACAAATAGGAAAATTAAAATCACCCACATATAACCTCTGTTAAGTTCTGACATATCTCCTTCCAGAAGCTTATAATTATCCTCCAACCATCATTACTTTATTTCCTAGATACAGAGGAGTTTCTAACTATTTTTCCGTTTAAGATAAAAATATCCCAGGATGGGTATTGTCTTTGGCTACAACCTCCATTGAGAGCCAACACTTCCATTAACTAGTAACACCTTCATTAACCATCAGCGATTTCATTAACTGTTAACATCTTCATTAACTGTTAAGTCCTCGGGAGGAGGCCCACTGAAAGCAAGGATAAGCGTTGGTCCCTGCTTCTAGGGGTCAGTACTCAGAGGTGGGGTGTCCAGAGGGACCGAAGAGGCCGTGGGCAGGGAAGGAGGTGAGGCAGGAAGACAGATGCCCCAGTTTCCATTCCCATCCCTGGAGAGCGCTGGCCCTGTCCTACTTTGTGGCTATGGGTGGGTGGTGCACCCGGGGGGAGCCCTTACCCAGCCTCGAGGCTGGGCGTGTGGTTGCCGCAGAAGAGAGTGGCAGAGGGGTGTGGCTCTGACGACACCTGGGTCCCTCCAGGTCTGCGCCGGGTGATGCTGCGGGCCCACCGCCAGGCCTGGTGCTGGCAGGACGAGTGGACAGAGCTGAGCATGGCTGACATCCGGGCCCTGGAGGAGGAGACCGCCCGCATGCTGGCCCAGCGCATGGCCAAGTGCACCACGGGCAGCGAGGGGCCCGAGGCCCAGCCCCCCGGAAAGCCAGGCGCCGAGGTCCGGTCTGGGGCCAGCAGTGCTAGCACTCCCGATGGGCCCGAGGCGCCCCCAGGCCCCGATGCGTCCCCAGACGCCAGCTTTGGGAAGCAGTGGTCTTCGTCCTCCCGCTCCTCCTACTCGTCTCAACACGGAGGTGAGGCAGGGCACGGGGGTGGGACAGCCGCAACTCTCCCCACGGGCTGAGGCTGAGGCCGAACTGGCCCTGCAGGGGGCGTGTCTCCCCAGAGCCTGTCCGAGTGGCGTATGCAGAACATCGCCCGAGACTCCGAGAACAGCTCCGAGGACGAGTTCTTCGATGCCCACGGTCAGCACCGAGGCCCCGTCGGGGAGCCGGGTCCCCCTGGGCAGCTCCTCCCACCCCGTGACACAGCCCCCTGTCCCCTCAGAAGGCTTCTCGGACAGTGACGAGGTCTTCCCCAAGGAGATGACCAAGTGGAACTCCAATGACTTCATCGACGCCTTTGCCTCCCCGACGGAGGCTGAAGGGTCACCAGGTAAAGACACCTGCCCGGGACACCAGCCACCAGCACCCGAGTGCCGTGTGGACGCAGAGAACAACTCAGTCATCTGTCTACTGGGTGCAGAGCTCATCAAACACACGGATGGATGACAAACGAATAACGGATGGCCGGGTGATGGAGCGTAGTCAGGTTCAGGATGGAGGGTGAATCTGGTGCCTGAGCCCGCGGGTTTGAGGCCCCACCCGGGCAAGGTGGCGAGACCTCATCCCGACCATAAATCAAAAACTAGCCGGGCGTGGCAGCGCGCGCCTGTAGTTCCGGCTACTCGGAAGGCTGAGGCAGAAGGATCGCCGGATCGCCGGGGCCCGGCGGGTCGACGCTGGGTGGCCGGGAGCGGCCCCTGTGCTCCCGTCTGGGCGACAGAGTGAGATTCCGACTCAAAAAAAAAGAAAAGAGTGAATTTGGGTCCAGGAGGGCTTCACGTGGGAGGTGATGTCGAACTGGGTTTTTGTTTGTTTGGTTGGTCTTTTGTTTTTTTCTCAGAGACAAGGGTCTCGCTCTGTGGCTCAACCTGGTCTCCAACTCCTGGCTTTAAGCGATCCTCCTGCCTCAGCCTCCTGACTAGCTGGGACTACAGGTGCATGCCACGACACTGGACCATGCTACTGGGTTTTGAAAGATTTCACCAGCACTGTCCCACAGAAGTTTCTGTGCTGATGGAAATACTGTAGACCCGTGTCGCCCGTTATGGTAGCCACCAGCCATACGTGGCTCTCAGGCACCTGAAATGGGGGTAGTATGAATAGAAACTGAAGTTTTTATTATATTTCCATTCATTTAAATTTAAATAGCCACAGTAAAAAAAAAAAAAAAAATTAAATAGACAGGCAACCGTGGTGGCTCAAGCCTGTAATCCCAGCACTTTGGGAGGCTGAGGCGAGAGGATTGCATGAGTCCAGGGGTTCAAGACAAGCCTGGGCAACTTGATGAAACGTTGTGAGACCTCTCTCTACAATTAAAAAAATAAAAATTAACTGGGTGTGGTGGTGCATGCCTGTAGTTCCAGCCACTTGGAAGGCTGAGGCGGAAGGATCGCTTGAGCCCAGCAGGTTGAGGCTGCGGTGGCCGAGAGCGTGCCACTGCACTCCAACCTGGGAGACAGAATGAGACTCCAACTCAAAAAAAGAAAAAAAAGGCTAGGCTGGGTGGCTCAGCCTGTAATCCCACGCTTTGGGAGGCCGAGGTGAGTAGATTGCCTGAGCCCGTGGGCTCAAGACCTGCCTGAGCAACTTGGCAAGACCTCATCTCTACAATAAATCAGAAAATTAGTTGGGTGTGGTAGCGCTCACCTGTAGTTCCAGCTACTTGAAAGGCTGAGGGGGAAGGATCACCGGAGCCCAGCAGGTCGAGGCTGCGGTGGCTGGGAGCGGCCACTGCACTCCAGTCTGGGCGACAGAGTGAGACTCCAACTCAAAAAAAAAGAAAAAAAGCCGGGCTGGGTGGCTCAGCCTGTAATCCTGTGCCTTGGGAGGCCAAGGTGAGCGGATTGCCTGAGCCCACGGGTTTGAGACCCGCCTGGGCAGGCGAGACCGCATCTCTACAATAAATCAAAAAATTAGCCGGGCGTGGTAGCGCAAGCCTGTAGTTCCAGCTACTG